TAATTATTCACTGTCTAACTCAGACTGCTACACAAATAACTCTGGCTTTTGTCTTATATCGCCTCAAACAGGCTGCAGTAGAAAGCAGTAGATAACATTTTGAAAAAGAAAAATAGATAATTGGTGATTTTAGTTGCTAAAAGATGTTACTAATTTTGCACAAGTGGGCATGGTGCTCCTAGGAGATTTCTGTTAATTTCCCCTGCACTTTGCATTCTTTTTCAAAATAAGGAGTTATTTTTATTTTTTGGGTTGTGTTTTAGAACTATTTTCTCTAGAAAGCCAAAGACAGCACCAAGTTAAATCAGAATGTCTTAGTCTAAGCTGAATGATTTTTGCTGAATTATATGGATGTTGTTGGCATCAGTCCAAGAGAAACAGATGGAATTATTATGCAAATTGTCATCACCTTGTGGGTTTTAAAATCATTTTGAATATCTAAATCCTGTAAAGATCCTCAGTGTAAACGGTTTGCGAAATAAGGATTTGAAATCCTATGAGTGTGGACCAGCATCCTATTTAATTTCACAATATTCCTAATATTGCCTAGTGCTTACATTACATGTGAAATAAGGATTTGAAATCCTGTGAGTGTGGACCAGCATCCCATTTAATTTCACAATATTCCTAATATTGCCTAGTGCTTACATATTTCTCAGATTCTTATTGGGATGGAAGTATTAGATAATAATTCAATTCTTCTTCTTCTTCTTCTTCTTCTTATTATTATTATTATATTTTATTTCATTTTCACAATTTTATGACATAATGGAAATGGGAACAAAGGAAGGGGAAAAATCGGAAATAGTAAAAAAATATGTTATGATAGTCACAAAGTTTTGTTAGTAAATTAATTCTATACATGAGTCTGTTGTATCTCCAAGGGTGTGAAGAGCGGGGAAATTATTTCACATATTCTTTAACATTTAAAGGGGTTGCAATTACAGTATAATCTAACCCAAAAGCCAATGAATTGTTGTCATCTGGTATTCACATTGATCTTTCTGTCTTCTTATATTGTCCCATCAGTTTTCTTGTCTTCTCCTCTAAACCTGAATTATAAGTGTTCCTTCTAATTATTTTATCAGCTTACTTATACATGCTTTATTTTTCTCTTAGTTTTAATAATATTCATCTATTGATATGTCTCATAGCCGGTTCTTTGTTAATATGTTAGTAATGCATATGTTAATATAAATACTTATTGTATTAATCTATCTTCTATACAGATTTTGAATATATAAATATATTCAGAATATATAAATGTCTCCATATGTGTGTGTGTTTCTATAACATCCACATCATTGACATACATTGCTAATATGTTATTCAAACTATTAACACAACAATTATATTCAGTCTTTTGTGTTTTAGAGTACATATATTATTTCATACTATGTTTAGTTCACAAATCCTGTTATAATCATCTTCTTCCTTTTTTTTACAAAGTCCATAAAAGGTTTCCATTCTACTTGCCATTTCTGTGAGTTAGCTTGTTGTAAAATTAAAGTTAATTTGTCAATTTCAGCCATTTCAAAAACTTTTGTAATTCAGTTGCCTGCTGTTGCTATAGTTTGTTGCTTCCTTAGAATCATAGAATCATTGAGTTGGAAGAGACCTCATGGGCCATCCAGCCCAACCCCCTGCCAAGCAGCAGGAAAATCACGTGCAAAGCACCCTTAATTTTGCATATTCATTTGTTGCTGCTGTTGTCATATAGAGGAATATTCTTTCTTGGTGTTTTCGTATTTGCTTGTCTAATAGTCCTAATGAAAAGGTTTCTGGTTTCAGTATTACTTTGTTTTTTTAGTATGATTTGCATATAACTATGGATTTTTATCTAAAAATCTTTAGCTCTTGGGCAGGTCCGTTACATGTGGTAGAAAGTTCCTGGTTTTTGTTTACATTTCCAATGTTGGAAATGATAATTCAACCCTAAAGGTTAAAAAATTGCAGGGAAGGAGAGTTGCTCAGAGGAGCAAATGAGACTTAAGACTTGCAATTTCTTTACCTCTCAGGGATTCCATATCTGCACACAATTTAAAACAGGATATGCATTGTGCAGTCATAACAAAAAGTAATGCAGTTGACAAAAGTCTAATAGTATGAAAACAACAAAAGAGATGGTTTTTCTGTTGCGTTACACAGATCCATGGGCTTGATCATAGAGCCAACGGGCTCCTTGTGCTATAAAATTGGACCGAAACAAAGATCTTAATATAGTTTTGGACCTGAAACCCTTTCATATCACATACCTATTTTAACTGTGATACTATTTTAACTACCATGATTCCCTTCTATGGAATTATTGGATTTGATCTTTAGGAAGAGACCTTTAAAATGCTGTCTTAGAGTTCTATAACTACCAATCCCAGAATTCTGTAGGATGGACCCATGGTGGTTCAAGATTAATCATAACACTATAATTGTCTAGTATGAAAGGGCCCCTGATCCACCAACCGCTCCAGATATCTACTGAACAAACACTACAGAAACTGTAGTAAATTAAAATCTTATACACAGTCATAGAGTTGAAAGAGACCACATGAGCCATCTAGTCCAAACCCCTGCCTTGCAGAAAAAGTACATCTCTACTAATTCTGTCTAAGGTGCCTGAATATACACCTGATTTAAATGATCTGTATAATATTTGCTCTATTTCTCCCCACTTCTCTGAAGAACATTTCATTTCTCAGACCTTGAGAGTCACTAGAACTTTTTCACTTTAGACAAAACTTTAAGACAGCTTTATATTCCTTGGGATGTTTATGGTATAAATCTATGCCCTAACTTCATATTCACCACAAGAAACTTGCTCAAAGAAGATAATGTATGGAATCAGAGTTGCTGAATTTCTGCTTGCGATGTAATGTCACGTTTTTGAGTTCCAAAACCAGATAGTATCCCACTGTGTTGTTTACTGCCAAGCAGCTTGGAGCTTCTCTTATGTTAAGCAGAGTATTTGATCCCTTGACTGCATCACAGGAGAGCAAGGAAATGTTATTCCACCCCACCCCGCTCACACTAGAGAATAAAATAAAATATTTTCTATTCAGAGTGCAGCATTTTCAGCTTGTGTCATGTAGCTACTGCTTAAAGAGGCCTCATGAATAGCATGAATTCTTTGTCATAGTACAAAAGAAATATACTGTTCAGCAGAAGGGCAGTGGGCCCTTGGTTTCTACTGCTGTTGGTTCCATTATCCTTGTGAATACCAAAAACCACAGATGATCAAGTCCCATTATATATACAGTGGTGCATATAAAATGGCTAGAGCAGGGTTTGTTCTTTGGATTTTTTTTAAAAAATATCGTGGATGGCTGAATCCAGAGATACAGAATCCGTGGATACAGTGGGCTGGCAGTATATCAAGTTTGGAGACTTTCAGGTTGTAAAACCAGTAATGGGCAACCTCCAGCACTGGTATGTGTGTATTGCATCCCCACCATGCAGCTGATACCATGAGAGCCATGAATGGAGAGTCTGTAGATGGATGCCAGATCAGAGTTGACCATGCTGGAAAAACTTCTCGTGGTGGGGGAGACAGAAGCTACGGTGAATGCTATGACAACCGAAGTGGAGGTTAGGATGCTTCTTGGGGCTATGGTAGAAGTCAGGGAGGCTATAATGACTGCTACTGTTCAGGAGGCTCTTACAAAGATGAATATGACAACTATGACATGGCTCATATGTACCTTAGAAGTGATAAAACATTTTCCCCTTTAAAAATATGGCACATTTAGAAATGGAGTAGTATAACAGGGTCTGCAAAAATGAATGTAGAGGGTCTGTCTGTGACCCTGGGTCACATTTTACCAAGCTTGGGTGTACTTTTTTTTTTTTTTACCTGGGAGTAAGTCTCCTTACATGGAAATTACTTTTGACTAGACACATTGAAATTGTACTGTCACTAGGATTTCCAGTTCTGTATCATGCCAGACCCTGAGGATGTACTCCAAGCTAAGTTGTAGCTCCTAGTAATGTCAGTCACCATTATGCATTAAGTATCAGCCAAAGCTGTTCATAAAACAGACACATAAAATGCATTTTCATTTTTGGAAAATTTAACAGAAATCCTAGTCAAGGCATTGTTTTCAGATCAAAATGACATGATGGAATGAAGGTGATCCCTAGCATTGCAACAACTGGAAGGGAAAGGGAGCCAATTAAGTAAATAGATCTACTGGATCATATTGTAAGTTATGGCAAGAAATCAATTAAACCTAGTATACTATAGCAGTATGCTCTGCTATCAGAGTTGAAGATTTCCGTAAGTCCTTTCTTTTTTCCTAGAGCCGAATGCCCCAAAACTGGAAAATGTTCACCTTTGTTCCCCATCCATGAGAAACCATGAGAACTGGAGACTCGGGCCAGGCGCTGAGCTCTCACCATTCTGTCATTCGTTTTCTTCTCCTTACAGCTATACAGTTTGTTAGCAATGCAATCGAGTTCTGATAATTAGTTTTCTGGCCATCAAGCTAGATGAAAATGAAGAAAGGCACGCTTTAAAAACCAGTCACACTTTTAATTTTCAATTTGCTTTTTGAATGATATTTTACAGAGAGGGAAAAAACAATACCCAGGTGTTTGTACATGCCAACTTTGAACTGTGGTGACATGTCTCTTCAAAATAGTAGGAGACAATTGGTCACAGTTCAAAGATACTATGTGCAAACACCTGGACATCCCCCCTTCCTTTACAGTTTTCTTGCTCTGAAATAGTTTGCCTCCTGGGGAATAATTGCAAGGGGAATGTAATTTCATTAAATTGCATGGCCTGAGTTTTGAGTGTGTGTGTGTGTGTTTGCGCATTTCACTTGCCTCCCACACAGCAATCTCATCAGCCCTAGCCCTAGAAATACTCTCTGAGTTACGTTCTTGTTATGTTGTTATGTTATTGCCATAACCTTTTCTATTATTTCAAAGTTTAAAGGCATTTCTTTCAAAGCTACATTAAAGCCTTGGAAAATATTTCATCCCCACATTTTTCCTGTCCACAGGAAGGAGCGGCTGCTTAGATGTTCTCAGTGCAAAGTTGCAAAATACTGTGATGCACGCTGCCAGGTAATGGTCATTCTAAAATGAAGTATACCTGTATAATGCATGCATTTTAACCTTTCAGCTTTTTGCACCCCCCCCCCCCCAACCTTTGGTAAGGTTTGTCCTATTAGTTGTGATAACTAGCAAAAGCTATGTATATATCTTCAGTGGTAAAAATCCATAGTATTGGATATTGGATGACTGGTTCTGAGGCCTTGTCATGTACATATTTGAGTTTTAAGCTTGTAATACCACTTTTGAATGCATTGTATAAATCAATGGTTCCAAAACTTTTTTGACCTGGGAACACTTGACTTAGGAACCACTTTGACCAGGGACTACTCTCCAACATTAGTACCAAAATGGTTACAAATCAGGTTTTGGTCAACTTTAGATTCAGTTTGGTTATTTGGGGTGCTGATTCAGAAAGTTGCTAATATGAAAGTATGTTAAATCCATTACATAATTCCCTTACCTTTAAAGTCAGTAACAAAAATATTGAAATAGTTAAAGATTTCTTGGCCCAGTCATTAACCAAGACGGAGACTATAGTCAACAAATCAGAAAAAAAATATAGACTTTAAAAGGCAGACATGAAGAAACTACTTAAGACCTCAAATGTATAGATATGTCATTAAATACCACAGTCAGGATCATCCATGCCATTGTATTTTCAGTTCTCTATGTATGGTTGTGAAAGCTGGACAGTGAAGAAAGCTGATAGGAAGAAAGTCAGCAAATTTGAATTGTGGTGGATAAGTATCTGAGGTAGAACAAATTATGCGTGATTTACTGGTTTCTCTTTAGAATTTTCTGGTGACTTTTCGACACTTTTTCTTAGAGCTGTTTATATTCTTGAGAGTCTTCCATTCGCAGCTCTGTCCATTGCATCTCAGCATGTTTTGCGGAAAAGATGCTTGTGTAGCAGTTATTGCAGTAGTTCTGGCCTTATGTGTACAAGAAAAGTAAAATTGTGACTGAACAATTGTTATTCTTCTCTTGTACGGAACACACACCTGCCAAGCAAAAGGAGGTGGGAGTGAACCCTGGGACAACTGCTGTTAGATTTGGCGGCTAAGTTAAAGTAGAATGGCTGTGGGCAAATAAATTCGGCTGATGCCTTGTTTTCATAGCAGCAGGTGCAGCTATGCTAATAGGAAGGGTTGTGCCCATTTTCAGCCTGCATGTATTCACCCTGTCTATGGATTCTCAGTGGCAGTGAACATAAAGGTGTAATTCAACTGTCTTTCTAATGTGAAAATGCACCACTAATACTGAAAAAAATGAGAAGCATGATTTTATGTGATGTTGTGTCTTTCATCTCATCATCCCTTTCCTAGTTACATAAACGGTTGATCATGTTGATGTCTCTTTTAGTATATTTTGAAATTCACCTCGGAATTTATTTTAAGAACAAAGGATGTCAGATCAGAACTGCCTTCAAAGAACAATTTTGATTGGCTCAGAAGAAACATGCCAGTTTTTTCTGCAATAACATTATCCAGAGTTATGTCTTAATGATTACAGGCATTAGTTTTTTTAGGGTAAGGTATACTAGATTTTTTTAGGGTAAGGTATAACTTTTCTGGATAATTTATGTTGCAGTTATACAGGGTATTTCAGAATGATGGACCAATTTCAAAGCGGTATATTTCACAATGGCATCATGTTATAATTACACAAAAAGTTACCAACGATTTAAGGAGTTATTTGTTTATTTGTTTATTTAAAACATTTATATCCTGTCCTTTTCGACCTCCGTGGAGGGACTCAGAACAGCTTCCAAACAGGCAACAATTCAATGCCAAACATAATATAAAACACATAATAAATAAATCCACAAAATTAAAATAAATCGAAATATATATTAAGAACCCTTTCACCAGATTAAAATCGCCAGAATTAAAATGATCATCCACAGCAGTCCAAGTCCAGTCCACTAAATCTTGTCTTTTCCAGTAAACAAACTGTTCTGTGAATGCTTGGTCCCATAACCAGGATTTAAGCTTCTTCCGGAAGGTCAGGAGAGAGGAGGCAGATCCACAGCCGAGGGGCCACCATGGAGAAGGCCCTGTCTCTCATCCCCACCAAACGTGACTGCAATGGCGGTGTGATTGAGAGCAGGGCCTCCCTGGATGATCTTAAGGTCCTAGATGGTTCTTAAGGGGAGATACGTTCAGACAAGTAAACTGGGCCGGAACCGTTTAGAGTTTTATAGGTGAGCACTAGCACTTCGAATTGAACCTGTAAGCTAATAGGCAGCCAGTGGAGCCGGTACCCCGCTCCTGTGAGCAACCTGGCTGCCAAGCGTTGGACTAGCTGAAGCTTCCGAGCCGTCTTCAGAGGCAAACCCACATAGAGTGCATTGCAGTAGTCTATTCGGGATGTAACCAGAGCATGGGCCACCATGGCGAAGTCAGCTGCCAAATTATTAAGTTTTATTAACCCCTTTCAGGCAGAAACAAATCTAAAAAATAATCCCACAAATGGAGAATATATTGCCAATATATTGTGAATGACTGAGTTTAGAGCCTGAGTGTGCTCTGAGAGAGTTATCTAGTGGTTACCATTTGAAACTATATGCCTCATCCTTTCACGTGGTAAGAGTTTTATTCATGAGTGGTTCATGGTTGCAGAGATATAGCGATTTTGAATCACATCCATTGTTTTGAACCATCTTGTAGTTAGACTTACTACATGACAATCATTCTGTAATTCTTGTGAAATAGTAGATCCAGTAGAGAAGGACAAGACTTTTATTAAATTCCCCTATTCTTGTATATTTATTTGACTAGATTTGGAATGTGATGGTTAGATGATGAGGAAGACTTATCTGTTTTCCTCCTTTCTCTTTGTTTTTCTGTTCATATTTGCTCCATAAGGGATTCAGGAGGTAGGTGCTGTTTGCTTTGCCTTTTGTAGCGAGGCACACACAACTGTGTACAATTGACCCCACCAGAATCCCATTGTTTCCCAGATCAAAACTTATTGCATAGTTTAGTGCAAGCATGCTGCTGCAACCCAGTACTATCCACTATCTGCCCAATTCCAATGGCTAAAAACCTTCCAGTTCCATAGAAAGTCAGGTGGGCAGGGTAGGTATAAAATAATGTTGTAGTAAGGAGCTTCTTTGTAGAGACTCTGGCCCTTCTGTGGATTATCTCCTTTGATAATTTAGATTATATGGCAATGTAGAAGAGGCCTTTGTTAACCCAGTATGGCAGGATTGGCGAGGTTATTGCATGAGTTTTTAAAAGGCTAGTTATGAAAATGTGCTGAAAAATAAATCTATCCTGAATGGCCTCACCATTACCACACCATTGCCTCGAAACAACGTGCCAACGAGAGCGACTGGTGTCACAAACCCCTCTTATAGTGCCGAGGCAACCGGGATGTCTGGAGGGGAGAGGCTGACTACCTACAAAAGATTACTACCACCACATCAGCTCTAGATTATTAAATATGGTTTTCTGTGGGCGAGCAGATGGTGACCACTGGATGGTATATGTTCTGTATCAGAAACTACAGCTGATGTGGTCTATCCAATGTAATTTTCTGAATCAGTACCCCAAATAACCAAACAGAATCTGAAGTTGATCAAAAAGTGATTTGTAACCCTTCTGATACTAATGTTGGAGAGTGGTCCCTGGTGAAGTGGTTCCTGGTCATAGTGGTTCCCGGTAAAAAAAAAAAGTTGAAAAGTATAAATAATAGAAATAATGTGCATTTTACATCACTTGCTAACTCTTCAGGAGCCAGGTAACATGAAGAGTGGTTTTACACATACTTGGGTTTATAAATCTTGCAATTCTTTCTGAGAAGGATAAATCTGGCATTAGAAGTCTCCAATGTTGGGAAGCACAATAGGTAGCACAGTGGGGGTAATTATATGAATTGTAGGGATTGTGTTTTGTAATGAAATGAATAGAAATGGAATAAAAATATTTTAAAAAGAAGGTTCCTATGTGATGTTCTGATTTTCTGTTTCCTAGTTGATTGAATACTTACTTCACTGGTTTACCAGCTTGCTACTAATGACTTTTCCGTTTGCTTCTGTATGAGTTTTACATACATGGAGCTTGGCTTTTTCATCTCAGTTGCCATCTTTCAAGTATATATAAATATTTGGTGATGCATTCAGTAGGGTAATTTTTTGTGAGATGGATTGAAACTGGAGAACACACACTACTACTCATATTACTCCCCTGTCCTCCTCCTGAATAGGGAATTTACTTTTATCTAATACTGAGAGGTTCAACTTCAATCAGTTCCAAGTCATCTTCCTAATCCTACAGTTTCTATAACAGGCAGACTTATTTAAATATGGAAGGCTTATGACTGGTAGAACACTTAATTAGTAAACACTTGTAATTAATAGATACTTTAAATAATGCAAAACTGAAAAAGCGTGCATGTCTTTCAACAGTGGTTTCTTGCCAAAGCCTTGTGTACCTGAATATTTTCAAAGGCTTACTTTAGACCAAAGAGTCTTTAGCCTCCATGCAATCACTTTTCCCAGCACACTGAGGCCTTTGTAGTACTACTTAGTAATACAGAAAACGCATCTTAGAAACAAATCAATTTCTATTTTTCTTACCTTATAGAAAGAAGCCTGGCAGGACCATAAACGGGAGTGCAAATGTATTAAGAGTGTGGAGCCTAACTTTCCACCAGACTCAGTTCGGCTTGTTGGAAGGATCATTTTCAAATTAGTAAGTAAACCGTCTGTGTGTGAGTGCTAATTAGTAAAATACGTCCTAATTGTAAGTGGATTGACCCAACATCACAAATACTTCCAGCCATGCTTGTTCCTGGGAGAAGCAAGGAAAACTGGTATTCTTAGTTGAGAAAACAAAGTTGTTTGAACCTGCAATAACATGGCATTTTGAAGAATTCAAGGAGGGTGTGAATGGATTTCCCTTTGTCTTTGTCTCGTGTCCTGGATATTGAGAAGATGTTTGGAAGTCGTTCATTTGCTTCTCTATGGCTCCTTTCATTGAATTGTCGCTCTCTATGTTGGTTGCTCTTAATGTCAGCTGTGTAACATTAAAATTGGTGACTGGCTTTTTTTTGTCTGTTCCCTTATCTTCTCTCTCATTTCATTTTGGTCATTTCTTTTTAGATTGTTTACTGGGAGCAACAGCCTTGCATTTTATTAATGTGCAAACCACATTGAGAGCCATTTTTATTAAAGAGGAGAATTAAAACTACTTCAAATAGAGATAGATGGATTGATACATGGATGGACAGATAGATAACACGCTTGCAGTATCGATCACATTTTGCAAGAGGGAAAAGTGACTGCTTTCTCACTTAAACCAGTGTTTTAGGATGTAAATAGTTATCACAAACAAATATTTCCATTAGGCCTATGATTCGCTTTTGTTTCATTATATATAGTTTGGAAGTATTTATTTATTTACTCTATTTGCATCCCGCTTTTCTCTACCTTGAAGGGGAGTCAAGGCAGCTTTACATTACATAAGTAATGCATTACAAGTGAGGACATTACTTATATGTTATATTTGCAAGGTAGCTGATTGTTGAGATTCCCCATGTAATAGCATCTTCTATGGGGAGATGGAAGAGAATCTTATTTGAGGGAATTCTTGACCATTTTTGTGTTGTTGGTTTTTTTTAAAGCAAAAAATGCATTAGAAAAAGTTACAAATATACACTGCAATAACCAATGAATTATTTTTGAAATAAAATGCTACAGGGTAAAAGGTAGTAAAGGTTTTCCCCTGACATGAACTCCAGTCGCGTCCGACTCTGGGGTGTGGTGCTCATCTCCATTTCTAAGCCGAAGAGTCAGCATTGTCCATAGACACCTCCAAGGCCATGTGGCCGGCATGACTGCATGGAGCACCGTTACCTTCCCGCCGGAGCAGTACCTATTGATCTACTCATATTTGCATGTTTTCGAACTGCTAGGTTGGCAGAAGTTGGGGCTGACAGCGGAAGCTCATACCGCTCCCTGGATTCGAACATGCAACCTGACAACAAGCTCAGCGCTTTAACCCACTGCGCCACCGGGGGCTCCTAAAATGCTACAAACTCAGATTAAATGCCTTCTAATTGTACTGCTGAAATCTGCTTTGGCATAATCTACTGAGATTCACCTATATATGCCGATATACAAACTACTGCTACAGTTATTCCAAATGCATTTAGTGCTTCAGTATGCATGCAGAAGTAAGCGTGCTTCCACACAGCTGAATAAAATTCCACATTTTCTGCTTTGAACTGAAATATATGGCAGCGTGGACTCAGATAACCCAAATCAAAGGAGATTTGCGGAATTTTCTGCCTTTATATTCTGGCTGTGTGGAAGGGCCCATTGACATTTTTTTTAAAAAACTAACTCATCAGTCATATATATCATGCGATTTAAGTATTCCATGTTAATATGTTTCCTAAGCATTACTTATTAAACATTACACATGCTGCCTAGTTAAACATTTAATTAAGTGGGCTAATTAAAAAAAACTTTTACAAACTATTTGGACTCTGTTTAATGCTTCATGGTATCAGTTTTCAAAACAAAATGTAAACATGAAAAGGGAGGAAATAAAATAAATGATCAATAGCTTGCTTTAATAGCGTTTCAAATGCTAATAATGTTTTTCATAACAGGGAAGTAAACAAGCATTTTATGCTGAGGGGTGTTATTTACTTTGATATGCAGGTGCATCAGGATTGTGGCAACTTTTAAAACAGCATTAATTATTAATCCCATCACATTTTCTTTCATTCATCTTTTGTGCTTTCAACAGTTAAGACAGTCAACATGCCCATCTGAGGAGCTCTACTCTTTTTCAGATCTTCAGTCAAGTAAGTGGCTGTTAGCAGTGTTTTTGTCATTCTTTCCCTTGCTTTTGCTGTGTAGCATTCTGACGTAAAACTTCCCTTTGGAATTCAGCAGATTTGACTGCATAATACGTGCGGGAGAAAAAGTAGAACACACACAGGAACCATTCTGTATTTTCAAAGGCTTTTCTTTGATTTTGAGTTGATTTTATTTTTGATATTCTTCTTTTCTACTTTTGTTTTGTGATGTTAACTGTATAGCTACCAATTGTTAACACAGTAGGCCATGGTATCTGCTGGGCTTTAGTTTCGGAACATCTGTGGATACCAAAATCTATAGATGACCAGAGCCCATCATATAGAAAACATTATCTCTTATGTAAAATGGCGAACAAATGCTAGAAAGAGCCTGTGGATCTGTGAAAAGGCAAAATACTACAATAGGGTATGCCTACATATCAGTGCAGTGCTAAATGTCTGATAAAATCATATACTGTTATAAAAACATATTTGGTTGAATTAAAAATTGAATGGATTTAGGTATGAATTTGTAATAAAAATAATTTATTTACATATTTAAGATTATTTCTATTGTTGCTCACCCTTTCTATTACAAAGTTGATAACAATGAAATACACCAAAGTCATAATGCAGTAATAAGATGAAGAAATAATGTCTAGAAGGGCTTCTTAAACTTTTTTCCATTCACGACCCCATTTCACCTAACCCTTATCTGTCTTGTGTGTAAGTACAATTTCTTTGAATTTGACTTAACTGTGTAGAATCATAGTGCCAGTGTGTTCTTTTATGTGGCATTAGAATAAATGTTTTATATGTCTAGTATCTGTGAAATAAATACAGAAATTAGCACAGCCTAGAATGGCCACTTGCTCTAAAAGCAAGTGTTTCCTATTTTCTGCCAAATCCATCCATACACAAAGATATAGCGAAGGGGTCTGAATGTGCATTTAGTGTAACATGTGAAAATTGTGTACATAAGACTGTCCATAGCTATACTTTGATAGTGGTTTATCTTCCAGAGAATTGGATAAATTTAATTTCCTCGATGACAGAAAATTAAATCTCTTTGTTTTCTTGATTTCACTAAAGTTGTTAATTCCTTTGGCATCAGTATGAGAGGAGAGACTTAGCTTTTACTCATTTGCCATGAAAACCCTATGTGGCATTTTCTTTTCAGAGGATAGCTACTTTTTCTATCTTGGCCAAATTCCAATTCAGATATTTGTCCTCTGTTTTTGATGCTCTAACTTCTCCCTAAAAGTTTTGATTGGATTTCCTTATATTGTTTACATCTATCCTGAACTGAAATGTCCCAGACATGGTGCACTCTCAAACAGTTGCTGTTTTCCATCTCAGAGCTAGTTTTGTTTCAGTGTCATGTTATATTTGTACTGACTGGCCATTTTTAAACAAATTAGTGTAAAGTGTACTGTTCTTTTTAAAACTAAATACCTCTTCATAATGTTCTGCTCTCAAACTTTAAAAGCAAAAGATATTTCCAATATGTCAAGGAATTTTGCTCTAACAGCCGCTGTGACAATTTTAGTTTTTATGACTATCAATGATCTTATTCATGTATATCCTACTTTCTTTCAATAATAAGATTCAAGGCAGCTAAGAACAGCAACAACTGTGTTTGTCTCTTGATTGAGACCCAAAGTAGCTCACAGCCTTAAAGACTATTCAGTTTAAAATCTGCAAAATATCAATATTAGAATTAAACACTATTATTATTATTATTTACTTTATTTTTTATCCTACATTTCTCCCTATAGGGACTCAAGGCAGTGAGCCCAGGGGCTGCAACAGTACATATTAAAATATGTAAACATACAAAACTATAAATATAATAAATATAAAGATAAACATTTTAATTTGGACTGGAAACAGGCAAAAAATCTCTCTGATGGCCTATGATGGGGATATAAAAGCAGCAAAAAAAAAAAAAAAGGATTTTATACCAATACTTTTGCTGCAGTACAAAACCGACCAGTAGAATCAATCTTGCTCAAAAGAGAATGTCACCCATGAATCAGCATGCTATAAAAAACTCGCCCACCACTTTGCAGATAAGATTGCTCAGGTTTGCTCTGACTTAGATTCCATAGTTGATAGCTCCAGTGGATGTAAGCTTTGCTCCTTCTTGTACAGTCTTGATTGATACTTTTCAATTTGTACAGCCTGAGGATGTGGACAGGATCCTTTGAGAAGTGAGAGCCATCACATGTGCTTTAGACATTAAACGAGCCAGAGGGAGACTGGTGGAGTGGGCCAGGGAAGTGATTGATGCCTCCTTGTATCAGGGCAGGGTCTCTGTGGGCCTCAAGGAGGCTCTAATAAGGCTTCTGCTAAAGAAACCTTCACTATTGTCCCTGACAACTACAGGCCAGTCTCCAATCTCCCATTTCTGGGCAAGGTACTGGAGTATGTGGTGGCTTCTTAACTCCAGTGGTCCCTTAATGAAGCAGGTTATCTAGATCCATACCAGTCTAGTTTCAGGCCTGGCAAGGGAACAGAGACAGCTTTAGTCACCTTGGTGATGACCTATGCAGAGAACTGGACAGAGTGAGTTTGTCCCTGTTGGTTCTCCTGGTCCTCTCAGCAGCTTTTGATACCATCAACCATCGTGTCTTTCTGAGTCGCTTTTCTGGGATGAGGCTTGTTCTTCAGTTGCTCCATTCGTTCCTGGAGGGAAAGTGGTGTTGACTCCTCCTCGACTCCTTGATCACTGGCCTGTGTAGTCCCTCAGGGTTCAGTTTGTTCCTCCATGCTGTTGAATATCTGTATGAAACCACAGAGAGAGGTCATCCAGAGTTTTGGAGTGCTGTGCCATCTATATGCAGATGACACCCAACTCTATTACTCCTTCCCATGTAGTACCAAGGAAGCTGTTCCTGGGCTAAGCTGGTCTCTTTCAGCTGTAATGGACTGAATGAGGGCAAACAAATAATACAAGCAAGATAGAAGTGCTCTTGGTCTGTCAAAAGGCAGATCCGAGAAAGGGGATTCAGGCAATGTTACATGGGATAGCACAGGTTCACAGTTTGGGGTTACTCATGGACTCTGCTCAGTAGCAGCATTGACCAGGAGTGCTTTTGCACAGTTAAAGCTAGTGCGTCAATTGCCCCTGTTCCTGGCAGTACATTCTGTGATGGTACTTGTCTTGGTTCCATCCGAGTTGGACTACTGTAATGTGTTCTGCATGGGGTTGCCTTTGAGAAGTGCTCAGAAAGTCTCGTTGATCCTAAGAGCAGCAGCCAAGCTGTTAACTGGGCCTGGCTCCATGGAGCTACAACTCCTCTGTTGAAACAGTTCCACTGGCGCCCAACTCGTTTCCGAGCATAATTCAAAGTACTGGTTTTGATCTATAAAGACCAATACAGCTTGGGTCTGGGTTATCTGGGGGACTGTATCTCTCTCTACGAACTTGTTAGAAATCTACAATAATCTGGAGAGGGCCTTCTGTATGTCCCATTGCCCTCTCAATTGTGTTTGGTGGGAACAAGGAAGAGAGACTTTTTGGTTGCTGCTCCCAGACTTTGGAGCTCCCTCCCAAGAGAGTTGAGGATGGACCCAGCCCTGCTTGCCTTTCATAGGCAGGTTAAGACATTTCTGTGCCATCAGGCATTTGGGATAGGATGGGGGCATGCTGCTGGGGGAGGGGGGTTGTGGATGAGAGCATGGCAGGATATTAGTTTTAAATGTAATTTTAGTTGTATGGATATTTTTCTTGTATTTTAAGTGATAGAAGTATTCGTTTTAATTTTTTAATTTTTGTATTTGCTACTTTAAAACATTTACTAGGTTGTGTTCTGTTATTGTAAACTACCTTGAGTCCCCATGGGGAGAAAGGCAGGGTAGAAAAACAAACAAACAAACAAACAAACAAACAAAACTACTGTGTTCCTTGAAAACTGAATGCAGATCTGACATTAAGAGAGATATTTTTGGATGATACAAAGATACTATTTTAACATTAGTCTATCCAACCAATCACTTGCGCTATTTTACATTTCCTTGCACATCTGTTTTGGTTCTTAGCTCTTGATCTTTCATTCACATCATGTTTGTACTATTTAGTAGTAAGAACCTGGTGGTGAAAGGTGGCTGTCAGAAATAAAGGAAAGCACTTTTGCCCTTCTCTCTCTTTAGAGTTGGAAATGTCTAGGCTAAAAACATTGGCAGAAGGTCTTGCTGATGCCTTGAAATATATTGCTTCCTTTAAAGATGTTGAAAAGCTAAGTGAAGAAATGAAAGAAGGCCTTGGACATCTTGCAAAAACACTTCAACTGTATTTAAAGGTAGAAATCCAGGATGTTTCTCAACTGCCACCTGCCTTGGACGTTTTTGAGACCTTCGCAAAAGTAAGTGTTAAACTAGACACCTGAAAACTCTATAAATTAACTCCTTAATTATCGTACTTTAGCATTCCGTGAGAGAGCCATGCAAAACATTAATGTATTGGGGGATGTCAACATGAACAGTAAATTTCATATGCTGCTTCACTAATTAAACAAATTTACTGCCAGGGACCAGTAAGCTTTTCTTTTCCATATAATAGGAACATAAAATAAATTGTTTAATTCAAACAACAGGGTTTGTTTTTCAAAATTAGATTTGTGACAGCACAAAATGCTGATATTGAGAAATGACTTGTGATGATGAAAGGAAAAAAAAACCATCTTACATGTTGTTTTCTAGTAAAATAGTCCTATGTTTTATGCATTGTCTTTCTTTTGAAACTTATATATTTATTGCAAGTATAATCTGATGGGAAATACATTTATATTCGGTGTTCTCTCATACTAAAACATGATGATATGTTGTACAAGATATTGGTGCACCCCATAATATACCCTTTCTACCTATTTTCTTATTTCTTGATATGTCATTCAGTATTTAAATTTATTTACTTTAAATTTACCAGAGACTCTTAGATGTTGCTTTGCAAAGTTGAATATACAGCTTCGTGAAATAAGATTTCCTTTTATCATAATCATCCAGTGTTAAATGTGTCTTCTTTGAATGTATTTACCATTTGATGGAAATGTATTACCAATTTAGAACTGGTGTTTCCATCTAGTTTCTTCATGAGTGGTAGAAGTGGCAGTATGATTTGAAGTGCTTGGTTGATCAATTCTTTAATGAATTTTAAAGTATGGCTTTTCTTTAGAATAGAATAAAACTACCATAGTTACCAACCTGTTAGAGTTTCTTCAGCATTTTGAGCAAGTTGGAAAGTTCTCAGTGACTATTGCAGATTGATGGACTCTTGTTTTTTTAGCCTATGATTTGTGCTTGTTTGTGCAATCAGAAAATAAACACGCATGTTAAAACCTAAAATATTAATGCCAAGGGATGTGTTAACATTTTGGGGTGGAATAAAATGTCAGACTATTCCATTTTTCAGATGAACTGTTTTGCGACGTGCATATTTACATGCATACACATCACCGCAATAAATAGAATATAGCGAAATTTGTTTTTTTTTAATTTTTAATTTATTTTTATCCTGCCTGTCTCTCAGTAGGGACTCAATGTTGGTTACATTATGTCAACAATAAAACTCATAGTTTTTTTTTAAAAAAAATGGTGATCTCTCTTCTCTATTTTTTTCTGTATCCCAAATACTTGCTCCAGAGCAGTTGGGAACCTGAATGGTTCTCTAAGGAAGAGTCTCCTTATCACTCCTCTTTGATATGAAAGTACACCATTGAATCTTGCCCTATCCCTTATGTCAAGTGCATTACATAAATGGGAATTCCCTTGAATGTAGGATTCCTTAAGTTCACTTAGACCAGTAGTTCCCAACCTGTGGTCCAGGGACTACCAGTGGTCCGCAAGAACTAAAATATGGTCTGCAAGCTTCATCGTTACTATACTGTTGAACAAGAGCAAAACTCTCTTATAGTGCCAAGGCTTATTAAATATGGTTTTCTGTGGGCGAGCAGATGGTGACCACTGGATGGCATATGTTCTGTATCAGAAACTAGAGCTGATGTGAACTATCCAGTGCAGTTTTCTGAATCAGCACCCCAAATAACCAAACTGACCAAAAACTAATTCGTAATCCTTTTGGTACTAATGTTAGAAAGTGGTCCCTGGTCAAGGTGGTCTCTAGTCAAAAAAAGGTTGGGAATCACTGACTTGGAGCAAGATGCAAATAATAGGGATGATGTGTCTTAGGGGTGAGTGGTTGAAATTGCATGGGTGACCTGTGATATTAGTGAAATATTATATGAGAAAATAACAAAAGACACAAAACGCACATTCTGGCACATTCTGGAGTTTCATTAAAGTGGGGTTAAATGTGCCCTGTAATATCAGTGACCCTTGCTCTTAATATGCATCCTGTGTTACATTTCATTTATTTAGTGATGTGGATATGGAATTCAAGTCCGTTGATTCATTTCTGTATTTGTTGGGTTTATAACCCCCTCCTTTTCATTTTCACTTTTTAAACATAGAGTAAGTTTATGTGATCTTCTTAAAATGATACAAATGATTTTTTTGTGGTTATAGTAGCATATCTTAACAAAGTTTCATTTCTTAACTTCGCCTAGACTGTTGGTGTTTTATGAAAATGCTCTTAGTTCTCATATGAAATTGCTTTTTGGGTGTGGACAGTAATTAATAAATTTAATGCTTGTGCCATGTCTTGTCTTCCTAAAGATAGGAACATAGGAAAAGTTTTATTTGGAACTTACATGAACTGCCTTTGAGTATTTCTCTTCTTGCAAAGTCAGTTGTAATCGTATCTATCCATGCATCTTTTCTTTAATAGTATGTGAATGAAATCCTTGGAATCTGCTTGGAATTTCTTTGCTAAGCCCTCGAAAAGGCACGGTGTGCTACTTAGGCTATAAGCACGACTGGCAAATTTACCTTTCAGATTTATATTATGTTCCAAATATTTTAATTGTAATACAATGGTTGCTGATGACACGATAAATAAATAAATAAATAAATAAATAAATATTTTAATTTAGGGATAAACCATTCCTGTACTCATTCTGCCATATTTCATATAAAATAACCTTCTGATTACTTTTTGGAAGATGTGGAAATTCAGGACTAATTTATTATGCTGTATTCCTGCCGTGCTGAGTACTTCAGTTGACAAACATGAAGGAGACTATAATTGTGCAAAAGACATAGCACTCCCAGGAATGGAGAACTTGTTCTGTAATTAGGTTGAATAAGATGCCAGCAATCCTTTGTTATGAGGCCCGGGTCCTTTAGAAAAGATGAGGCCAGATCTAGGAGCATGCTAGTGTGTCTGAAGTTCAATGCCATTGCAATTACTCCACACCAGCATCTTTTATCACTTTCTCCTATAAGTGGATCGGTATGTGAAACTATGTAGACTCTCTTTAGATTAACATGTAGACAACATTGCCTATTTTCCTATAGGATATATTAGGCTGGAAGGCTGCAATTGGCTCATGTGTAAAAGGAGAAGCTGGGATTTGAATATTATCATTACATCATGTCGATCTATAGATTTTTTTTAAAAAAATTGGTACCTTTGGGAAACAAACTCCACATGCACACTCACACATATGTATGTAGGAAAATGGTACAAACCTTGTTATGGTGTGATAGTTTATTTACTGCTTGAAATACTTCTGTCTCCTTGTATGTTTGACCAGCCCAGAATAAAGTGCCACAAGGATGTCAAATTACATTTCTGCTGTGTCCATAAAAGTTACTTTCAGTCACCAGATTTCTAGAACTGCAGTATTTATTTACAGTACAGTATTTATATTTCGACCTTCTCACCCTGAAGGGGACTCAAGACGTATCACAGAACATACATATGTGGCAAACATTCAGTGCCATTTTATACACAACTAGACTGACAATTATACATAGATAAGAGGTATATATACCAACTTACCCATCTTCCAGACATCTTAGAAGGTGTTGTGCTCGATTCCAGCCATGGGGAGGTGCTGTTGCTACATCTCCCTGCTGGAGAGCTAGTTTGTAATTTCCTCCTTTGGACTGAATCGCTGGTACCTCAGAATACCTCCTCTGCTTTTTAATAAGAGGTCCCTGTTTATCTAATCACATTTTTTTGCTTTTTAACTGCTAACTTAAGGCTGGGCATTTAGAAATAAAGTTTAGGCATTCAGAGAAAACAGCCTGGCAGAGCTGACCAAGTTAATGTGAACTTTTATCAGAGGTCTAAGTGTGAATGATTTTCAGTGTTTCAATCTCTGCAGTTAAACATGCCCAGTCATAAAATAAAGTCAGAGCCATACAATTACAATAATTTTAAAACCCTAGTAGATACTGAGAGTGTACGCTACGTATATAGTGGCAAATTTGCTGTGATGTCAAAAGAAATTTTGGTGCCTGGGAACTGAAAATTAGTAAAACAATAAGTATTGTTTTTCTTTTATATTGCAAAACAACATACATGTCTCCCAACACCCCAACTCCTAAAATGAAGATAAAATACCAAAGTTGGGTCTCTGGCCCATAGTGGGTTCTGGAAGTAAAAATGGGACACCAAGGAGCTAAAGTATGAAATATCCAGTTTTTAAAAGTTCAGTTGCAAGATTATTTTGAATAATTTCATAGAATGTTATAAGAGACATATAATGGAATTCTGCTCCAAGGGAGTGGAAGCTAAAGAGGGGTTGGTAGCCACCTGTGGGCTGCTTTGAGTTCCTCAGAGAAACAGTATATTACATCTTCATGATTGTGGAAATAAGAAAAGACCACCACGAAGTATTGTAAAGGCTAATTCTGTAGGAATTTATTTAATGTTGTCACTGTTATTTAAATATTTTTATCCATTTTGAGGAGCTAGGATTAGCATTGAAATTAACATATTCCAAAAATAATATTATAGAGCAATAATATTTTGTTTCTAATGTGCTTTTCCGCAGTGTGGCAGAAGTAGTGAAATTTTGTATTCAACTATTACACAGCCTTCGACAAAAGTGAATAATGTTACTACAATTATTTATGTGTCATATTAACTATAATAAAAATGAATGCGGGATATAAAATTACCACAAAGAAGCCATAATGTTAAAATGTTTTATTTGGAACTTACATGAACTGCTAATCTGCTTATTTATAAGTTTACCAAAATGCAGAGCTACAGCTGGGAGAAATATAGGTACAGTAATATTTTAAAAAGGCACTGCAGTTTTCCCCTGAAGACTTACTTGGTATGGAAGCCGTCAAAACGAAGGCCAAATTTTTCATAAAATGAGAGTTTGTTTAGTCTCTGATATTTTTGTAATGGTTAGCTCTTTCCAGGAAACTATTATACTAGTGATTTATAGCTAGGGACACTCAAGATTTTTGATGTTATTAGAATTAACCTCTAGCCACAGGAATTCTT